GATGGACCTTGGTGAAAAGGGAACGGCAGATCTCGGGGAGCCGGTGAACCTGACGCTCTGGTACAACTACTGCACCTTTGACATCATCGGAGACCTGGCCTTTGGGGAACCGTTTGGGTGTTTGGAGGGAGGGGACCTACATCCCTGGGTGAGGACGATCTTCCAAATGATCCGGCTGGGCGTCGCACTGCAGACGGCGAACCACTTTTCGGTACTGAGCCGGTTCATCACGGCGGTGATGTCGACCAAGGCAATGAGGAACAGACGGCTCGAGCATCAGGCTATGACGATGGATAAGTTGAAGAGGAGGATTGCGTTAGCGGAGAAGGAAGGGCCGAGGGCGGACTTGATGGAGGGGCTGTTGAAGAAGAGGGAGGAGTGGGTGAGTCTAGTTCCTTTCCCATCATATTTTGTATCAGATGATAACATGGACGCAGGACCTTTCGTTGCAACAGCTCGAGGGCAACGCGAGCATCATTATCATTGCGGGCTCCGAGACTACGGCGACGCTGCTTTCTGGGGTGACGTATCTCCTCTTGAAGAACCCTGAAAAGATGCAGAAGCTGGTGAACGAAGTCAGAACGACGTTTGACAAGGAGTCGGACGTCGATCTCAAGTCTGTGAATAAACTGACGTACATGCTCGCGTGCCTGGATGAAGCGCTGCGGTTGTATCCGCCTGTGCCGACTGGTCTTCCCAGGACGGTGCCCGAAGGCGGAGCTATGATCCGCGGGGAGTTTCTTCCAGAGAAGGTGAGTTTTTCGTTATATGCTGTCCTCTGCCGAGGGGGCCGGGGGTTCGTTCCGTTCTCTTGTCGGAGTATCCCAGCTAATGCGAGATCCCTCACCTTCGTAGACGACTGTTGCTGTCCATCAGTGGGCCATGTACCATAACGAGGCCAACTTCAAGAACCCATTACTCTTCCACCCGGAGAGGTTCCTAGGTGATCCGGAGTATGCTTCTGATCGCAGAGAGGCGTTACAGCCGTTCCACATTGGACCTCGAAATTGCTTGGGACGAAAGTGAGTGCCTCCAGAGTTTCCTCAACTTTGTCTACCTGCTAATATGGCATGATAGCCTCGCGTACGTAGAGATGCGGATCATGCTAGCGAGATTGCTTTGGAGCTTTGACCTGGTTCTGGCGGAGGAGAGCAAGGCTTGGATGGAGACTCAAAAGATTTATACTCTGTGGGAAAAGGGGCCATTGAATGTTTACTTGAAGCCTGTCATACGTGACTGAGATTTGGGAGGAGAGACTTCCTAGCACAATATATCAAGATCTTAGATGACACACTACCTCCTTTCAAGTCTCGACTAATCGATTGATCTGTACAAATAACCTCGGTAACACCAACTAGACTATGTTCTGCGCTCCAATTCAATCACAGCAGAGAATGAGACTCACAATTCGATGACATCTGCATAAAATTCAATAGTTTTCTTAAGAGTAATTACGGGCGTCCTTTAGGGCTTACTTTGTAGTTGTTTTCAGTGCTTGCCTTCTCTGAACTTCCTCTGTGAGCTTTCTTCATGCCACCGCTTGAAGCTATATACAAGAACCTGCATTATGTACAATACGGACCGTTCCAGCTAATTAGCTTGGAAGTAACTACTCCTAGCCGGCTTCTTCGCCTCAACAAAACTTTCAGAGGTTCCATCAGTCCACGGGCGGCCCGATGAACCGCTAGAGGCACTGATCACATCGCCATGCAATGGTTGCAAGCCGACCTTCCTGTATGCTTCCCAAAGGCTCTTGGACACAGTCAGGGACTCATCGTTGTCTTCGTCGTCATTCGCCTTCAACCAGCCCTTGAACTGGTCGTTCAGCAGGCCGGGGAGTGATTCAATAGCCCCTCCCGTGATCATCTCACCCACCCAGAGGAGCATAGCCGTATAGTAGCGCTTTGTCAAATTCATTATCCGTGTGTTCGTTAGCTCTTCAGTGGGGAAGGCAAGTATGGCTGAGCGGTGGGTCGGTCCGACGGAGATGCCGAAACGGATCTCGTGGCTCTGGGAATGCACTAGCCCAGCGCTTTCCGCGATCTGGGGACCCTCTGGCCATGAGATGTGCGAGAGCATCTCAGCAGCATATCCGAATGGTAATGGAACGCTCCAATTTTCAATGTCATGGGCCTCTTGGAAAGTTTTGAGATACGGGTTGTACAACGTCCATGGCGCGTGTTGTCGCCCGTACGCTTCAACGACTAGGTGATCGAGGAAGCGGGTAATGGTGTTGTTCGCGTAGGTGAAGAGAAGTTGGGTTTCAGTTTCCAGGCGCACCCAGTCTACAAACGGCGGTCGGTTCCAAGCGTCCCGAGGATCGATTTGGCCGAGAAAAAGGTATGTTGAAGGAGTGACCTCGGATGTTGTGTCAAAACCTACCGTATGTCAGCAGGAGTACATGTCGAAAATAACACCGAATTCTGCCTACCGAGCTGTCTGCGTAGCGCATTCATAAGTCTGAATAGGGTCATATCCCAATTGAGAACAGGGCCCTCATCCGCCATGGACGGCCTCGTTTGCTGGAAGAACTCGACAATCAACCTATCGATAATGTGGCCCTCCTTGGGGCGAGTGCGGAGTTTCTTCGCATCCCAGTAGAAGAACAGAAAAGCCTCCTTCCAATCAATCCGGCCAGTGTCCATCGCCATGACGCTTCTTCGGGCGGCAGATGTGGTGGAGCCCACATTCGGCTTTTGGGTCATGATTGCTAGTGGAGTTTGAGATCGAGAAGTGCGCGCTTGTGCAGGAAGGAAGTTGGAGAACATTTTTGTTGTTTTTTTGCGAGGCGCGCCAGCCTGATGGGAGGGGCATAAGTACTCCTCTTTCGCCGACTAAGTCCGGGATGATTATCGAAGGATTAAATAGTTCTAGAAGCGGTACAAGCGGGTTCAGCGTCCGAAGGAATGCTGCTTGTTGGAACCAACACGAAAGCGTCCAAATCGGGCAGCCAAAGAGATCCACTCTCGCACAAGTCCCAAATCAGCCAATTAACAAAGAGCCGGCTGTCTATCATTCGGCAAACAAACAATCAAGCAAACACTTGGCATCACCGAATGTCATCCAAACGTTTGGCCCCCCCCATTTGAGAAAACAAGCCCGTTTGCTCCACCGATCCAGGGGTTTAGGTAAACCGCGTAAACGCTGAATGGCCTGCTTGCCGCATCGCGATTTGACCAATGATTCACATGCCCCGCAGACGGGCCCAGAACCTCGGACTTGGATGACACTGGACCCTCTACGCGCCTCCTCAAATCCGCTTTATTCCTTCTTTTTGACCATAATTAGAGCCCCTGCAACGCCAGTGGTGATGATTTCTTTCCCTGGCTCCATCCCTGCTTCGTGGAGCAAACTCGCGAGTTTCCCAACGGCCATCTTGACTACATCACGATCCGTTCCGACATCATCGGGGTGCGCCTCACGCCACCGCGTCACCGGGCTGACCGTCTCTAGGAATCTTTCGACGTGATCTAGACCCAGCTTCTGCTGACCCAAGAAGAACTCCCCGTCCGGTCCGACTGTGCCGTCCTTATTCCAGTCTTTGCGCAGGAAACCGCTCTCTTCGAATTCCGCCACCGGCGTTTCGAGGTCCCATGGCATCGGTAGCGTCTCGTACATCTTCTCCGCTATGAGGTTACCCGGAGTCATGTACGGCTGGATATACTCGTCACGGAAATCTTGTAGGATCTGCTGCATGCTCGCGGCGTTGGGCATGGATGGGTGAATGTACTTTGAGCTGCTCGTCCAGATGGCGACGGAACCGCCCGGCTTGAGCACGCGGGCAGCGGCAGCCCAGAAGCCGGGCATATCGAACCAGTGCGCCGCGGTAGCGGCTGTGATGAGGTCGACGCTGGCGTCGGCGACGGGCGGGGAGAGGTTGGACCCGAGCTCCTCCGCGGTGGAGACCTCGAAGCGGATCGGCTCCGGGGCCGATGTGACCCCGCCCAGGGCTCGGGCAGCGTCGATCATGCCCACGCTCGGGTCCAGGGCGATGGTCCGTGTAAAGCGCGGGCTGAGCTCACGGGCAACGGTGCCGGGGCCGCAGCCGATGTCGAGAAGGGAGTCTGTTTGGCCGCCTGTTGAGACGTGGTGGTCGTAAATGTAGTTGTAGATCCTTTGGTCGTAGCCCAGCCTGCCTTTGGCGTAAGTAGCGCCTTGCTCCTTTGTGTAGGCACGGAAGGTTTTCTCAACCGGGGCTGGAGTTGGGACGGTTGCGACGTCGGCCATTGTCTCTAAATTTTGGTGGCGAATTCTCCAAAGCTGGTATTAATTATAAAGGGATAGAATCAGACGTTTATATATGCTTCTACATAATATGACAGTGTTTTCCACAAAATAAACAGCGGAAATTTGATGTGGCCAGCCTGATCTTTATAACTCACATGCGCTCAAGCCGAACTCAACATCTGAGGAGGGCGTTTGACGAACGAGCACCAAAGTCTGCCATGATTGGCGAAAGGCTACCGAGAACGGCCCACCAACATCTTTCCAAAGAGGGATAACCAAGTACAGCAGAGCCAATCAACGACCCCAAAAGACCTCACACTAATCCCGATCAGGGCGACGACTGCGAAGCTGATGCTGTCCCCGCCGACCCGCTGCCGGTCGATGACCTTTTGGTGGCTTGTAAGCCGTCTCGAATCCTTCAGAATCCCGTGTCCGTGTCCGATCCCCTTGAAAATCGAGCCTGACAGCAACCGCCGACGGAATTTCTGACATTTAGTTCAGTCAACCCCCTCGGCTGGAACGCTCTTTTCGTTGGTAGTTGACGAAGCTGACACAAGGGTGTTTGCATGCCTGGAGGCCCTCTCATCTTACCTTACCTTAGACCCGGGAGCCGGACCCGGAGTTGTCTTCTTGAGCCGAAGTCCTTCACCGCAGCATGGTTTACTATGGCGCGCTGAGTAAGGGTTGCCAGCGATGCCGTCAACGCAAAGTCAAGGCACGTGTTTTTGAAACCCGATGACCTCCTCCTTGTGCTTGTAAGTTCTACTTCTAACATGCTTTGGAAAAAGTGCGATCAACGCAAACCGGGATGTCTCAAGTGCGAAAAAGGACAGAAGCCTTGTCCCGGCTATCGGAACTTGACAGACCTTGTCTTTCGGGACGAGCGCCAACGAATCAGGAAGAAGATTGGAAATGAAGCTGGCAGCTCGTCAAAGCCGAGGAATCTGCCAATCAACTACGCGTTGTGCCTCAACATTGAAGATAGGGCGGCCACCTTTTTCTTCACCCAATACACCACTACTGGACCACCGTTCTGTGACTCGTACCAATCATGGCTTGCCAAGACATATCACGAAGAATCTCCTGGCAACCTAGTCCGACATAGCATCCAAGCAGTCGGCATGGCTGCTATCTCAAATATCTCTAATGCCCCCAAAATAGTGCTGCGGGCCAAGGAGCGGTATGGACAAGCACTAAAAGCTACTAATGTAGCTCTGTATGACCCTGATCAAGCCACAGCAGATACAACTCTCATGGCAATTCTTCTCCTTGGGCTATTTGTTGTACGGTTGAAACCCCTTCTCCTTCAATAGCCACGACTAACTTGAGCAGACGATAATGTTCGAAAGCTGGAATGATAGCCATGCGTGGACGGCGCATATTGAGGGCGCAACAGCCCTATTGCACCTTCGCGGCAAGGGCCAATTCACTAGAGAGCTTGGAATACAGCTCTACATACAATTCAGACAGCAAATTGTAAGTCCAAACGTAAAGTCATTGAGCGGACCCTACTGAGCCGGTTCCCCGCAGCTCCAAGCCTGTATGCATCGAGGTGTTCCCGTACCCCCTGCCCTTGTGGAGATTACCATGCAATTCGAAGCCAGCCGTCAAGGAACACAGTACAATAGTCTACGTCCAGGGTCCTTAGCAGTACTAGGCTTTAGGCTCGTCAACCTTTCTGCAGCCATGAACACACAACAAATAACAGACGCCAACGCAATCTACCGAACAGCGGTGGACATTGACAGTGATCTCAACGCCTGGGCGTCAAAATCCTCGCAATCTGATCGGAAGTTCCACGAGATTGAAGCAGATGCATCCAAGAAAGAAAATAACTTCAACGGGAGAGAACATGTGTATAACAGTGTTTGGGGAGCACAAGTCTGGAACAACTGGCGGTCGTTGACGATAGTGACAAACCGTATTATTCTCAACCATGTCGACAAACAGAGCTTCGAGAACAACGAACTCAAAGAGATAATGCGGTTCCACAGCATCTCGGTTATCCACAGTCTTTCTGCTGATATATGTACATCTACACCTAGTCTATCTGGTACCCCACGTCAGTACCAACATCATATCGAAAATCCCTGCACTATGGAAATGAAGCTAACAACTATCCTAGGAGCACCTTCCATGATCTGGCCGTTGCACATCGTCTCCCAAGAAGAACTAAATGTACCAAATGTACGATCTTGGGCAGTCGAGCAACTAATAGGTATCAGAAAGTCGATGGGCATAAAGCAAGCTGCTGTTCTGGCAAACACGATGGGCTGAAAATGCTAGTTTTGGAGACACCCACTTTCGCACAGCGATAGACAAGTTTGCCTTTCATTCTATAAATATTATGTTGGATGGTAGATGTAATTAAAATGATAGCCCTATTCATGGTTCAAAGTTGCAACTTCCAACATTGAGTCATCAGTTTGATCAATTCTAAGAATTTTGGACATGATGCAGTATACCACTTCGAAAGCTCATTGAAAGAAGTCTGAGGATTCAAGTGCGGCAACTAGACTGCCGCAGGGTATAAGGTTCATGATTGCAGAAGCTTTATCGATAAACGAAACATCGTATCATACTGACAGTTGATGTTGCGGACGATGAGGTAAGCCAACATATCAGTCAGCGCCGGAAGGCATAGAACCTAGCTCACCTGGCCAAGTGTATTTTCGTTACCATACTTACATGATAATTGCAAGCAGAAGATGCCGTTTGTTCGATATCTGATTCGGAACGTCGAAGAAGATATTCTGAAAGCATTGACTGTTGATCTCCAGCTATACTCCCCACAATTGGCGGCTTCGAGGCATGGGCACAAACTATAAAGAACGGCACAGGGAGAACCTGACTCGATACCTCCATCGAACGAACCAATCTCCAAACGCCTGGATTGACGGCGTGATCCCAAATGGGCATATAAACATGTTGCCCTTTTGGGACGCCCCGTGAGGCAGGAGGCGCTCGGTAAGTACCAAGAAAGAAGGCATATATATACTCCACGCTCAGGTTCTGCACGAAGGGGGGATAGACTATTACTGATCATTGTCAGATGAACTAAACTACCCACTTAAGCCTTTCTACAAAGCACTTTGTTCATTTCGACTCAAATCAAAGATGGGATTCACGACGATGTGGTCGTCGGCGGCGCTCTTGTCGCTGCTCTTCAAGCTTGCCCTCGTTTTATCAGCGATTGGACTTATGAAAATTGGCTGGAAGGCTTATACTATCAGAAAAAAGTTCAAAGAAGTAAAAGCGTTGGGGATCGTACGTGCACCACATTTACGGATCCAATCAATCAAGCTGACCGTCGCACATAGCCAATGCTGCCTCACTCTTGGATCATGGGCCATCTTCCCATCATGTTTGAGTTTCGCAAAGAGTATCCAGGAGACATCAATATTGGTAACTTCCACCCATGGATCATCAATAACTACCAGAGATACATTCCGGAAATGGACCACTGCCCTCCAGTCATTTATCTGGATCTCTGGCCTGTGTTGAAGGCACCCATCGTGGCTGCGTACAAAAACACCGTTGCGGCACAGTTCACCCAGACGAAGAATCTTGACAAGCATCAAATCTCCCTCGACTTCATGAACCCGCTGACCAAGGGTTTAGACATCGCTACCCTTCAAGGCGATGAGTGGAAGAAATGGCGAGGCTGGTTCAACCCCGGCTTCAGCTCGAGAAATGTTTCGTCAATGGTTCCTGATCTTATCGAAGAGATTAAGGACTTTGCGGATAACTTGCAACAAAAGGCCGGCTCTAATGGATCGTGGGGTCACATGTTTCAGCTCCGCAACATGACGACGGCTCTCACGTTTGACATCATTGTCCGTGCAGTCTTGTAACTGAGCTAATTCGTCTTGTTTGAGGTGTCCGGACTGATAGATACTTACCAGGGATGAGCGTCTCCACGAGCAGACAAATACGACTGCTGGCCCTCTCAGAGTGGCACTTGCTGACCAGTTGAGGCTCATGGGCATAAGACAGGCCTTCAGTTTCGGCTACTTGTTCCCATGGCAGAACAAAGCCGTGGATCGTAACAATCGCATTGTTCAACACCAGCTTCAACCCAATATTGTACGATCTCTGGAAACCGGTCTCAAACCATCCAAGAAGAAGACGGTGCTCAATCTCGCTTTGATGCATTTAGCAGAAGAGGCAGGTGGGCGCCCGATTGACCCAACTACCGACCAACTTATGATGGACACCATCTTGGGCAATCTTAAGACCTTCCTTGTTGCGGGCCATGAGACAACTGCCAGCGCACTGTGCTTCATGTTCAAGGTTCTCCAGGACAATCCAGACTGCATGGCCCAGGTTCGCACCGAACACGACGAGGTACTGGGTCTGGATCCCGACCAAGCTGCTGACATTCTGAGCAAGTCACCTCAGCTCCTCGGCTCCCTTCGGTATACACACGCCGTGATCAAGGAGACTCTCCGCCTGAATCAACTTGCCTCCACCATGCGAGGAGGAGAGCCGGGATTTCATCTCAGTGATGCTACTACTGGTCTGCAGTATCCCACCGAAGGGTTTCTTGTGTGGGATGGCGGCCCGGGTATGCAGCATGACCCGTCCCTATGGCCGCAAGTTGAAAAGTTCATCCCGGACCGCTGGCTTGTTCCTGCCGAAAACCCGCTTCATCCCGTGAAGGATGCTTGGAGGGCATTTGCCCGCGGTCCTCGGGATTGCATCGGTCAAGAGATTGCTCTGGTTGAGATCAAGCTGGTCGCAGCCTTGATCATGAGGAAGTACGATGTTGAAGAGGCCTGGGATGAGTGGGATGCTCTCCAGTAAGTTTGGCTTTATTCTAGCCACAATAATCTCCTCATCGCCATACTGTGCTAATTATCTTATGTTGCGCAGAGGGCCTAAAGCCAAGAAAGATATGGTCCGGGGACAAAGGCTATATGTGGCTGGAGACGGCATCGGGCATCCCAAAGAAGGCATGCCAGTTCGCGTGCGCCTTCGACAGAAATGAAACATGTGCCTGACCTTTGAGATGTCCGTATTGAGATCTCTCTTATAATGTCCACATTTATCAATCATCTTGGGATATCTAGGTTACAATATCATCAGGTGTACGAAAGTACAGTGTAACCGCACACACTCCATAGGAGTTGACTGAAATCAACTCAAGACCATTGGTGTCAATCGTCCATAGATGGTGAGTGAGCATGACATACACAAGCACTCAAATTGTATTGTTCTACGCTTGGTTGATTAGACTTATGAATAGAAGATCAAAATTCGAACGCTCATGCTCCATATTGCTCGTCATCGTTACCAATTGCTCATTGACTTTCAGTTCGCGTCGAAGAAGCATAGTAGTGAATGTCGAGAATATCACTTCTTCCAAATATTCCGGGAGAAGTTGGCTCTGATCTGATCCGCCTGTTCCTCCATCTCCTCTGTTGTTAAGAGCCTCTTCGAGGCGCTATCTCGATCGGCATTTCCCCAAAAGGAGTCTCTATAGAACAGAAGAGGTAGTATACTGCCCTTCCATACAGCCAATTCGTCTCGGTAGACAACTGTCAGACTTATCATCCATGAAAGGGCCATTATTTCTATGATGAGTAGTATCGCAGGGAAGATGAGCCAATATGGTTTGACGGCTATAAAAGTGACGAGTTGAAGTGATTCGCCGTTGACTACCGATGTGGTGTTGTCTTTTCTTCCCATACCGAATCTCATTTGGTTGGTCAAGGCAGTCGCAAAGTCCGTGAAGAGTTGCTTTAGGCTGGCAGGTGTTGATTCTCCGTGGGACCAGAGCCTTGAAAGCCAGATGGCACTCCCACAGTTGATCGAGTTGGGCTGTGTGGAGACCCAACTGCAAGTGCCATTGAAGAATTCTTCTGAGAAATACTGTGACATCAGAAGCTTGAAATTGTTGTCAATGCGGTAGATACACTCTTCGGGAGCCTGAAACGCAGAGCCAATCTCTGAAGCTCTCCCCGCGTTTACGTGTCGTACCATGGAGGGGTCTGCGCCTTGTGAGAGATTTCCTTCGGTATATACCTTCCCTTTGACGAGGCAAGGCAGCTGTACTGCAGATAGATCCCAAGCTTGTTTGGGCCCTGTAGACTTCTTATCGCGAATATCGTAACTCATTGGGGTCTTCGTAATGGGAGTCTCGGATAGGACTCCTCGACTAATGATTGCCGAGTATGTCCGAATACAAGGGTAAAGCGAGCAAGTGATGGCTATGGCGTGTTTGGGTTTGTTTACGTTGATGTTGCCGTCAAGGGCCGTGCTTGTCAAGACAGTGACATTCACAAATGAGACCGAAGCCCGTTCGAGCGCCTCTAGCGGTATGGTACCATTGGTCCACGATAGATCGCCTGATATAACCCTCATCCCTCCTTCTCTATCCGTGTTGATGATTGAAATTCCGTTTGCCAAGCTGTGATTAATGGCCTGAAGATTGTCGATCAAGCCCCGATGATCGATCATTTCTCTAATATCAGTGCAGATATTGCAAATGCCGGCGGAAGCATGAGTAACGTTCAACCCAGCTTTGACGGAGGTGTTTGAGCCAAGACCGATGAAAGTGCAGTTTCCTGTTGGACAGGTCGGCACAACAACCGAATCAGAACCGTTGCGGCTCAAGGCGAGAGTCTGAATTGCACCCTTGATGTCTGACCTCAAAGCCATGCCTTCGTTGTCACCGATAAGTGTTCTGATGTTCAGGCCGTCAACATGTCGCGTCACCGGGATCATTCCAGTGCCAGGGCCAAGAGTTTCGTTCTTGTCGACGTGCCCGATAGATTGCTGAACGAAGGGCCCAACAGCAAAGGACGATACGAGGACAACCACAGCGACGAGAATTGATGGGCTGCGCCAAGTGACAATTCTCATCAACTTCAGCGCCCCCCAGACGCCACGAGTACCATCATCGAAATGCTGCAGGTTTCCCATCCGGCGTTGGGAAGATTTGTCGCACCAGAACCACGTCCACTTCGCCTGTGCGATGAGCTCGGTTGCAATAGATACCAAGATCCCTCGAAATATGGTGGAGAGTAAATTGACAAGAGAATTCAGAGTTATGATCCGATCCAAGGGCCAGTCTCTCAGGGGGTGATCATCTTGGCCGAGGATAACCGTGATTGTCACGGCTAAGAGACATGTGGCAAGAACGAGAGATAGAATCTCCCAAATCCATAGGAAAAGGACGGATCTGCGTGTTTGGCTGTCTTGTTGGGCCTCGCAAACATCTTCATCCTGGAATCGTTGCTTAGATAGGCCCGGCCTTTGAGGGCTAAGCGGAGCGCATGGTGATGGGGTCTCGGAAAATCCGTCGCTGGCTGTAGTCCATTGCTCGAGTTCAGTTGATGTGGAGACTTGTTTGTTCAAGTCGCGATTGTCGCTTGCAGATGTCGCCATCGACACGTTCTCACCGGTGACGTATATTTGGTAGTTGAAGAAGCTGTATGAGAATTAGATTATGGCTCAACTACTTCAGAAGATGAACTTGAATTTATATCATGGTTGACCTGGCACTGTTCATTAATTTGTGTCACACCAGTTGTGAATCAGACCGATGAAGCCAGGCTGCTAGTACGACGAGAGTGAGGCTCAAAATCTACGTTTTTGCTGACCTCAGAGACGAGCATAGGATCGTTTCCAATAACTCATCCACATTGGCCTCAATGCAAATACCCGAGTGGCCCATGCTTGAGCCATTTGCTGAGTTCAAAAGGTGCCTCGTGAGGCTGTGGGGTGGCCATCTGTCACACTTGAGCAACGAAGCACGGTCATATGAGACATACACACGCAATGGTACCACATGAGCTGTCTTGAGCTTTTTCAGACAAGACTATGGTCTTTTTGTATTTGTTAAATACCGCACGTTAGTCATTCTTCGGATTGCTCACCGAACTCGACCGTGAGTGAGAGGGCGCCTAGGAGTAGTTGGGCGAAACAGTCATCCGTGTCGTTTCTGAGAGGCGACTGCAAAGTGATAGCTCACCGATTCAACACGAAAACCCGCAGATATCCGTCTGATCGGCCTCGCCGAGGTACGGTTGCCATGTCTTCATCAAATCCATTCTTTATTTCCGTGGTGGGATACGAACGACCCTCCAAATCCAGTCTCAATGCTGGCTTTGTATATGACTGACAGCATGTCCTTCACCGAAGACTCTGTGGTAGTCGGGCCGGCGAAATGTGGTGCGTACTTCGCCATCTTGCCAAGCATGGCCATTCCCTTCTGCTTTTCTTCCTCTGTAGCTGGCAAGATGTTAGAACTTAGACGCAATTAGAACGAGGACAGATTGTAGTTCTTACCGTTGTCATACAGCCCCGTATCGATCACTCCGGGCGAAATGCTGAAGAATAGAATGCCTTGATGGGAGTGTTCCGCACTGAATTTGGCCACAGCTGTATTCAGTGCTGCTTTGCTGATCGAGTAAGGGGCTCCGACCTCGATGCCGGACTTGGATATGAAGTCCAAGTCAGCCATACCGGATGAGACTGTGATCACCTTCTTTGCAAGACCTCTCTGGATGAGTGGTAGGGCGAGATTGAAGAGATGAACATTGCCGACGACGTTCGTACGGAACGAGTCGAATAAGTCCTGTTCTAGCCGCTTCGGTTTCTCTCCCCTTTTATTTACTTTGTCAGCCCCTTGGTATGGATGTGTCGACAATGCCTTCTATGAGATTCCGTGGAGTTTAATAGACTCACAGAACGCTAATGCCATCGTAAGATGACCAGGTTGAGATGAAAGCCGCATTTGCAATGACATAGTCGATGCTTCCACCCGTGATTTCCGATGCAGCATTCACGGCTGTCTGAGATTTGGTCTTAGTGAAGATCCTCAATTTTATGCTAGGTGCTTACCTTTATCGCATCGAAGTCATCAAGGTCAGCTTGTAGGACGTGGATGTTCTTACGCTGCAGCTCGGCGTCCACCTTCTGCTTAGTAGCCTCGGCATTTCGGACAACCCCAATGACGATGTTGTTTGCATCGGCAGACAGTTGCCGAAGAAATTCAAACTTGTCCAAATCAGCATTCTATTTGGCGACGTTGAATGCAATGGACTTACTCCAAGCCCCCTGGAGGCTCCGGTTACCAAGTATGAAGACATGAGGATCGTGTTGAAGTGTGTCCGTGCTCACAGTTCTTTCCGCGTAGAAAGATTTAGCGTAAATCAAAAGCGACCAAAACGTCTCAGTCGAAGTAGCAGTGAGAGTGTCTGTATTAATAAACTTTTGAGCACCGTGATATATAGAGAATTCTAGTCGGCTTAGAAAGCTATGGAACGGGGTTGAGTTCTGCCGTAGGAGCAACTTCGATTACTAAACTTCGTCCGCGATACTCGGCCGGATTGTTGCACTTCCTGAACACTGGCTTGATTATCAAGCATGGGAAATAGGGATTTTGGTCAGAACCACCACGCCTGGAAAACGTTTCAGTAATCGAACGGAGGCGGAGGATTGGGGTTTCAGCCTCAACTAATTCGACGTGGTTTGCAAGGAAAGAGCATGACTCCGAAAGTAATCGAAGCAAAACCTGGTCTCAAGAGTAATTTCTAACATACCTAACAGACAGAGAAATTCGAACGCCATAAATTGCACTGAGACATTCCAACTGTTCAACTCTACTTTGCTAGCTTGCAACTAGCACAGTAACTTTCGCTTTTCACCATTGCTCAGGTTCCGCAGCTATCTTTAAACCATGATCTTGAATAACCTGGTTCTTCTTGCAGGAACTGTGGCTTCGCTTAGTACTTCTTCTTCATTACCTCATCATGAGAACCCCGAAGCTATCAGCTGCTCCACATCAGCGAGCCAAGCGACACCCAGTTGGCGGCAGCAGCAGATTTTCGAGACGTTCATCCAGAGATTCTTCGTCCAAAAAGATGCAAAGGCGGCAATTTTAGCCAACATGTCCGTAAACTACACCCAGCACAACCCCAACGCTCTCAGCGGACGCCAAAACGCCATCGACTATGTTGGCCCAATCTTCGACGCTGCGAACTTCACAATCCTGCGGCGCTCGTTTAGCAACAACATTGGATGGGTTCATACCAAAATGGAGATTCCAGGCTTGCCGCTGACTGCGGTGGTGGATATTTTCAGGTTCGAAGGAAGCTGCATTGTTGAGCACTGGGATGTTGCAACGGCGATGCCGCCTAATGCTACAAATCCTTTGGCGCTATTTTGAGGGTTGTTCACTCTGTTTCGGAGAACGAAGCAGTTGATAACCGGATGACGATGGAGTATCTGAGATGAACCATACTATGTAATAAGAATGAAGCTCTCGGAAAAGCATGTGCTCTGCTTCAAGTTGTCATTTCTGGCATGATGCAGACATACAGGCATCAAACGACTTCGGATGTAGACCTTAATTGAAACCATACTTTGGCAAAGCATTAAAAGTAAACTAAAAAATGATGGTTGAACTAATGAAATTATGGCAAGCAAGACTACTCAACTGAACAAAGTACAACGCCTTCATCCACCGCATCACCACTCCTCCACTTTGTATGAAATATTCCAGAAACACCTACGATGATGTTGATCTCCATTTTCATGCTTTCGATCACCATGACACATTCACCCTTATTGACCTCCCCGCCAACGGACTTGGCAATCGACAGCACTTTGCAAGGCATTGGGGCTTTGACCTCGCTTTGCTGGTCACTGTTGGAAAGCGCTTCCTTTCTCAAATTGGTATAGAACGAGAGCAAAGTATCTTTGCGGAACTCCTTCCACTCCCCAAGCTGCTGTAAATGACAGAATACCCTGACAGTTTCATTGAGTGGCAGACTTTGACGACCTTCACCAATATTTGGGATGGCAAGGTATGCGCGAATCTGGTGGCCATTCACCGACATACTCATGGATGTTGGTGATGACAAAGAGCTCGTCTTCGAGACTAGCGACCGCTCGCCAGATAATGGCTTCAGCTCGACGTTTCTGATGTTGAAAATAGGCCCCGACCATGCCTCCCCTGTCCGAATGGCTTGACTTGTGGCAGTGTAAGTGGCAGTCAAATTCGACGCCGGTGGTAGTTCTACCCCCTCTTTGGATGAAGAATCCTTCTCATCAAGGCTGTGGTGTGTCACAGGGTAGAGACAGACATCCCACTCGTTGTCGGCGTTGCTGGAGCTAGGTTTGGGAAGACAGGCCTCGCACCTAGTAATACCTCCAGAGGCGGATTTTGAGTCTCTAAGGGAGATGATCTCGCAGCTTTGGTGGAACGGGTCAAACTTTTGGTTGTGGAACTGACGGCGGACTGTCCGGAAGTGACGACGACCACCAACTTCCCGGGGTTCGTCCTTCTGCAAATGTTGCAGAAAGATACTAGGAATAAGTGAAATATGGGCTGGCAAGGCCGGCGTGTATGGACTTCGAAGCAAGTCGTCGATATTGTTTGGAATAAATGATGTCTTGTAGCCAAAGTCCTGGAAGGCTGGGTGCAACAAACAGCTTTGAAGGAATAACTGGTTTGTCCTAATTCCAATGCACGGAGTGTTTGCCAGCTCTCTGGCAAGTATGTTGATTGCCGCAGATCTTGTCGGTGCCCAGACAACAATCTTGCAGATCATCGAGTCAAAGTAGATCGAAACTGATGTTCCACTTTGAATCGCTGTCTCATAACGAATAACCGAGCCCGGGCTTCTTCCTGGAGATGCAGGCTTCCATAACAAGATCTTGTCATGGCTGGGAAGGAAGTCTCGCTGGGGGTCCTCCGCACAAAGCCGACACTCAATTGCATGCCCAGTCTGTGTAAGATTTGACAGCTGAGGGAGCTCTGAGAGACGGCCTTTGGCCGCAACAAACAGTTGCAAAGCGACAAGATCAACTCCGATGACTTCCTCCGTAATTGGATGTTCGACTTGCAGTCGCGTGTTAACCTCAAGGAAATAGAACTTTCTCGTCGATGTGTCGAAGACGAACTCCACGGTCCCGGCTCCTTCGTAGCCTATCAACTTGACGATTCGGACGGCTGTCTCGCTCATTTTCTGCCTGGTGTCGTCATCGAGAAAAGGGCACGGTGTTTCTTCGATCACCTTCTGGTTGCGACGCTGGATCGAGCAATCTCGCTCAAAGAACGACACTACTTGACCATACTGGTCACCAACCACTTGGATCTCAATGTGCTTACTGTTCTCAATGAACTTTTCCAGAATGCAGTCTCCTGAACCAAATGAGCGTTGAGCTTCTGACTGCGCTCTACTCAGCTCCGTCATCAGCTGCGATGGTTCGTGCACAACTCTCATACCCTTGCCTCCGCCGCCTGCGGAAGCTTTCAGCATCACGGGAAAACCGATGTCGACAGCTGCTCTTTGCAGGTCTTCAGCTTCAAGACTGGTGCCAGTAAATCCTGGGATCAATGGAACATCGGGAGCATTCTGCCGGAGATAGTCTTTGGAAGAGCGCTTGTCGCCTAGTGTGGACATGGCTTTGGCTGGAGGGCCGACGAAAATGAGTCCAGCGTGGCGTACACTGTCAGCAAAGTTTGCGTTCTCGCTCAAGTAGCCATATCCTGGATGAATTGCGTCGGCGTGTACATTTTTTGCAGTTTTTACCAGGAGATCAATGTCGAGAAACGGATTTCTCTCGTTCTTCTCCATAGAACCAATGCAGATGGACTCGTCCGCATCCTGAACATGCCGTGAAACAGCATCTCTGCAAGGAAAGTCAACAAACCGTGCATCAAGATAACTCTAATGTTCTCGTGTTGTAATTTGGTTGGAACTTACTCTTGAGTATAAACCGCTACTGATGCTACATTGACTTTCTTGCAAGTAGCAATTATTCGACAGGCAATCTCGCCCCTGTTCGCGATCAACAGTTTTCGAATTCGAGGGTGTCCGTCTTCGCCGAGCGGAACATCGGCCACAAAAAGCTCTTTGCTGGAAGTTCGTGCTCCCGTTAAACCATCAGTTTGCTGGATAGCTGCCATTGTGACGGGGATGATGTAGGATTTTGGAAATAGGAAGACTCCCTCAAGCCCGTTTCTCGAGACTTAATACATGTAACAGTGACTTTGGTTGATTAAGCTATTCTAGGAGCTTCAAAGTCCATTTTTGATAATGGGATTGGCCAACCTCATAGAGCTTTCGGATCTCGGGAACAGTGAACCGCGCTCCGGATAGTGTCTGTGACACGGCATAGATGCCCTTGCCGACGGGTATGCTCGGGAAAGCTGCAATATTAGCGCCGGGAAGCGGTCCGGACAACAGTACACTGTGTGGGCCCTGGCACCCGGCTCCTCGGAACTTCAACCTGTTGAAGGTGGCAAAGCGGCAGAACTTACCACAGCAAAGTCCTCTGGGTTTTCGAGACGATTTGATACTGTAACTCTGGCAGACTAAGTGTTCCAGTCAATAGAAACATGAGCAGGCAGTTTATGTCTCACTGTGTTGCATTGCTCTAGCGTGTGCAATCGCCGACTTGGAATGATACTGTGAATGAAACAGTGAGCGCCATGCTTGATTCTACATTGATGATGCAATGACAACTTGGTCAATTGAGCGATGTTTCTTTACTAAAACTGCAAGGGGCGTGATTGCATTCATTGAGATTAAATCAAACATACACACCAGGTTCGCTCGTTTGTGGACACCCAAAATGCAGCAAGTAGTGTGCAGTATTTTGCAAGTCTGAAGCGAAATGAAACAACGGTAAAAGAAGCTAATTCTACAACTTTGCCTTCCTTGCTGACTTGTTGAGCAGCGCGTCTCCCAAATCTCGTATGAGATGCTTCTGATACTTTCCACTCCCAGTCTTAGGCAGACTGGTTCCAACATCAGGGTGACCAATCCAAAACACATGCTCAGGGGCCTTGTGCCGTCCCAACTTCTCCGTAACCCAAGCCTTGACTTCCGAATCAGTCAGCTTCACAGTGCCGTTCACCGTCTGCAGAAAGCTCGCGACCACTTCGCCATATCTTTTGTCCTGGAGGCCAACGACACAAGCCTCTGAAATAGCGGGGTGGCTGAGCAATCGATTCTCGATCTCAGTCGGAGAGATGTTCTCGCCACCTGCCAGATGTTTAGTTGAAGTCTTCGGAACTCAAATTTGAAACTTACCACGAATAATCAAGTCCTTGATGCGTCCTGTGATGTGAGCATAGCCATCAGCGTCGATCAAGCCCTCGTCGCCTGTGTGCATCCAAACCACTCCATTGTCGTCGACCTTCATCACTTCTTTCGTCTTTTCTTGATCTTTCCAGTAACCCTTCTGCAATGCGAAACCACTGGTGCATAGTTCTCCTCGAGTACCAAGTGGCACAATGGCTCCTTGAGCATCTACCACTTTGGCCGCAGTATGTGGAAGGGCCTTGCCCACGGACGCATTTCTCTTCTCATGAGCATCCTCAAGGGACGTGATAAATGTAACTGGGCTGGTCTCTGTCATCCCATAAGCGATCAGAATGCCCTCAACGTGCATCCTCTCGCGAATATCGGTCATCAAAGCGGCTGGCACAGGAGAGCCTGCGATGAGACCTGTCCGCAGGGTGCTGATTGGAGAGCCTGACTGCTGGAGCGCCTCCAACTCGGCAAGAAACATGCTTGGAACTCCAAGAAGGGCTGTCGCTTTCTCGTTCAACACAGCGGATAGTGTTGCCTCTGCATTGAAATTATCAGAGGGAAACACGATGGAACTGCCGTGGCAGAACGAAGCAAGGAACCCCATGATGAGCCCGAAGCAGTGGAACAGAGGTGGGGGGCAGCACACAACGTCTGCCTCGGTCAGTCGCATGGCGTCCCCCACAAATTGAGCATCATTCACCAAGTTGCTAGACAGTTCATCAGCTTGGTATTTCTCACTCAGGGCTGGGCGCGGTATCTTACATATGAGTTAGAGTAGCGGCCTTCGGGCGACCCGTGGTTCCTAGAGGATGTTGAGCACGGGATGGAATCTAGATGGTAGCTAAACTCACCGGAAGTAAATTGGAGGTTCAGTACATCCGAAGGGCGAACCTTGCGTGCTGCTCGTCTCAAGACGGAGTCGTTCATGAAAATTGACTGTCCGCGGTTGAAGAAGAAACTGTAAGATTCAAGCATGCTACCCTGAGGAGCTTGTTCGAACTTTTGCAGGTAGACAATTTGTTTGAGCGGAGACTGTCCTTTGTCAAGACTCAAGAGACTTTCTAGGTGCGGTGACAGCGACTTTGTCCCTATTCGAGGCGACATCAAAAGGAGTTTGCAGCCTTTGGCATTGTGAAGAATTAGTAGAGGAACCAGTTTTGAGATAATCACCATGGTTTGCTTACCACTGGCTAACACGGCATTTTTCAACTCGTCGGGCGAGTACGTATTGTTGAAAACTACGTAGGGGCATCCAATGCGAGCAGCCCCAAGAAAAAGTTCAATGTACTGATAGCAATTCCCCGCAATGATTCCCACACGGTCTCCGTGATGGAGTCCAACCTCAAGGATTGCTTTGGCTATAACTTTGCTGCGGTCTGCGAGCTCCCGATAAGTGAGCCGTGTAGACTGCCACGGGACAATGACGGCAGGGCGGTCCCCATACTTTTTCGACTGTTCTTCAATGATTGAACCAAGCGGCTTAAGGATAAGAGGCGGCGAGGCAGGCCCCTGAACCAGAGAGAGCGATGCATCCACCGAAGGCGTCATGATTGCGGAAGGTGAGGTAAGGTACTTGACGATGAGAACGATGGGTAGAAAAGACAATCAGTAATATGAGCCAGATGCGAGATTTCGTCTATGAAAACTAATCTACATACCATAAGTCATAAATACTGTTCCCCGGATGTCTGATAGCCGACATCGAGGTGGGCCAACCGGGGCCCGAGGGGCACGCGGGGATCGGTCCGGCAGAGCGCCAATGCCCCGACCCATACTCAGAAACCCAGTACTTCTACCGAGTCACACGCGACCAAGACGCAACTGACTCTGCTCGATACCCACAGCTTTACTTCTTCCCTCAATTTGATCAACATGATTGAGCAGCTTTTTCCCGTCGAGAAGTCAACCGTTGACCTCACTGCATCCAACTTCCAAGCGAATCGTCAAGCATGGGAGCCGGTTTTGCAAGAATTTGACAGTTATCTGAAAGATGTGTCCTCGGAAGGGGATGAGGCTTCCACATTGAGACACCAAACGAGACACCAACTGCTGCGTAAGTCGCTTTTTGGTAATTAACATACTGAGACAATTGAGCTGACTAGCACGGTCCAATGAAGCACGAGACAGGATTGCGTTACTGCTCGATGCAGACTCGCCGTTTCTTGAGTTAGGATGCTTCGCGGGGTTCAGGATCTCCGGGTCTAACTCCTGCGCAAACATCATTGCAGGTATCGGCCTTGTTAGGTGAGTTCACTTGGGAGCACTGGTTATCGATCCATTTCTAACAGAGAACGAGTCAACGGCCATGCCTTCTTATGTCGCATATCCCAACGCAGAGTGGAGGAGCTTGGAACGAGATGACAGGTGAGGGCTTATTCTCCATTTCTCTCGAGGCCAGACTCCTAACATAAGGGCAGTCCTCAAGGTCAACCGTATACTTGAAATAGGATTCGAGAACGATCTGCCTCTAATCTCACTGGTTCAGTCGGTAGGATTGCCATCACCAAGCGGAATGAAAATATTCTGACTATCAAAGGCCGGTGTTTTCTTACCTCAACAGTTTCGAGTCTTCCATAAAGGTGGCCAACTCTTTCGTGATCTAGCGATACGATCTCAGCAAGGCAAACCTTCGTGTGCCATTGTCTTTGGCTCCTCAACTGCTGGAGGCGCCTATCATCCTGCGCTTTCTGATTACACCATTTTCGTGGAGAATCAGGCTCAAGTGTTTCTGGGAGGACCTCCACTAGTGAAGATGGCCACTTCCGAGGTGGTCACTGCCGAAGAGCTGGGCGGGGCCAAGATTCATGCATCAACAACCGGACTGGCTGATCAGATCGCGATGGACGAGTATGGGACTCTCGATCTTGCTTCGGTCTTCGTCTGACTGACACCATTATGACAGGTTTGATGCTATTCAGAAAGCTCGCGAATGGGTTGCAACACTTCGCACCCCGGAGCCCAGTCGCCTACTCCCCAATACGTCAGACCCTGTACCTCCTCGGTATTCTATCGATGATCTCCTCTATCTGGTGAACACCGACATTCGTAAACCATTCGACATGCGCGAGGTGTTGCTCCGACTTGTTGATGACTCCAGAATGGCTATCTTCAAGCCGAGCTACGGAACGAATATGCTGACGGCTTGGGCGGACATCCTCGGTAAGGAGCTGTTCATCACTCAATCACCTTTCACAAACAAGGTTCACTGATACATATACAATGAAGGGTTTCGTGCTGGCATTGTGGCGAACCAGACTCCTGTGATCCATCCACACGAGGCCCTCAAAGCCGCGCAGTTTATTCGGCTTTGCAACCAGGAGTAAGTCTCTTAAGCTCAGAGCTTTTCCTCGTCCTAGCTGACCCAGCTTTAGAAATACGCCAATCATTTTCCTCCACAATGTCACTGGCTTCATGGTAGGTACTAAAGCAGAACATTCTGGAATCATCAAAGCAGGCGCACAACTTGTGTCCGCGGTAAGCTGCTCAACGGTCCCTCATATTAGCATCATCCTTGGAGCATCTTACGGAGCCGGCAACTACGCCATGTGCGGCCGATCATACTGCCCAAGATTCCTCTTCACGTGGCCGACAGGGCGATGCAGTGTCATGGGCCCAGATCAGCTTGCAGGTGTTGTAGAAACCATCAGAACCAAGTCAAATGGCGGTAGCAAGCTCTCCACAGAGCAGATCAAAGCCCAGGCAGCGCAGTTACGGGAGGATGCGTACAGAGATTCGACGAGCTATGCAACCAGCTCGATGCTTATCGATGATGGTATCATTGACCCGAGGGACACTCGTGATGTTCTTGGAATGTGCTTGGAGATTGTGGGGTTGTCTGGCCAAAAGAGTGCTGAATCACATCGTTTCCTAGCAAGAATTTAATCGTATCTAGGTTATGCTCTGTATAATTATATGAACCATTTTCCGAGTCCTTTCAATCTGCGCATTCAATTTGGTAAAGTCTCCCTTACTCCAGCATTAAGGGTAGCAGCATCACTTTGACCAGATTAGGCCTTCACCCTCATGCTCAAATATAATGGACTGCGATCCTCGTGTTCTAAGCCCGTTCAAATGCGACCATGCACGTGGTACGGTATGAGGTGTAAGCTCGGGGTCATGAACCTTAACCACGAGGGTGTGGATCCTAAGGAGAGGGGATTAGAACAATTGGAAGATGACAATCTTGAGTCATTCAATTGGGTACTTGGGGTGGAAGTCAGGTACCTATCCAACCTTAGCCGGGCGGTCCGGAATCCCGGCGTACCCCAGATTTCCAGCCGAGGTGGCTGTTAGGTACGTACCAGGGCCCACCCGGTCCGGGACCGACCTGGGGAGCAAAGCCGACGGGAGCATTCTTGGATGGGATGGATGCACACAAGGGCTCCTGCAGGCCACTTACAGCGATCTTTGGCATTCTCTTCTACTGCTAAACCTCGATCCAATATGGCGGGCTCCAAGACTGTGAGAATCGTCGAGGTTGGGCCTCGTGACGGCCTTCAAAATATCAAGACGGTGGTGGATACGTCGACGAAGCTGGAACTCATCCAAAGATTACAGGATGCAGGACTCCAGAATGTCGAAATCACGTCTGTCGTTTCACCAAAGGCCATACCGCAACTTGAAGATTGCCGCAAAATACTTTCCGCCCCTGTTGTGAAGAGGTGGCAACAAACCAATGGTACACTGCGTATGCCAGTTTTGGTTCCGAACACCAAAGGCTTACGCATCGCCCTCGAACATGGTGTTAGGGAAGTGGCTGTCTTCGTTAGTGCGACAGAAGGCTTCAGTCGAGCAAACATCAACTGCACTGTCGATGAGGGCTTGGAGCGTGCCAAGCAGGTGGCCTCGGTGGCTAGTGCAGCCGGGGTGCTTGTGAGGGGGTGAGTTCGTTTTTCTTTCCTGGAATGTTTGTTGGTCTTTCAGCCTCGATATACAGTCATCTAACTTTGTTTCTCTCCTGGCAGATACGTCTCTTGCATCTTTGCCGACCCTTTCGACGGTCCTACTCCTTTACCTGCAGTCTCCCGCGCTGTGCGAAGCTTACTCGATATGGGCTGCTACGAAGTCAGCCTTGGAGATACTTTGGGTGTCGGAACACCACCAGACGTTCGACGGCTACTTGAATATCTCAAGGCTCAGAACATCCATACCGAGAGATTAGCTGGCCACTTCCACGATACCTACGGGCAAGCTCTAGCCAATGTGTGGACGGCGTACGAATGCGGTCTACGAACCTTTGATAGCAGCGTTGGCGGCCTAGGCGGTTGCCCTTTCGCACCAGGTGCTAAGGGTAATGTGGCTACGGAAGATGTTGTGTATTTGTTTCAGCAAGCTGGGGTTGATACCGGTGTAGACCTCCAGCAAGTAGTTGACATCGGGGTTTGGATCTCCCAGGCCCTAGCGAAACCCAACGACAGCCGGGCTGGAGCGGCTCTCGCCAGCAAATCGAAGATCTCATCAACAAAATCATCGAAGATCACCGATCGGCCAAAGGAGGCGTTGGAGTGGTCAATCTTGGAACAGTCTGACAACGTTGTCGTTCGGCGGGCTGGAGCGAACGGTAATATCGTTCTCAACAAGCCTCGAAACGGGAATACCCTCACTTTTCCGATGATATCCGAGATCATCCAGGCATTCAAGTCATTTGAGAGCGACGCCTCAATATCTCGTGTTCTTATTAGCGCAAATGGCAAATTCTTCTGCACTGGGATGGACCTGAGCCAGGCCGCACAGGCAGTCGGCCGGGGCGGTGACGCAAGTTCGAAGCTGTTCCAGGCATTGACAGACTTATTCGAGCTCATCGACAACTCTCCAAAGGTCACGGTCTCCTGCATACAAGGGCCGGCTTTCGGCGGTGGCATTGGATTAGCATTTTCTTGCGACATCAGGATTTCCATCAGCTCGGCAAGCTTCACATTGTCTGAGGCCAAACTTGGCATGTGTCCTGCCGTAATTTCGAGATACGTCATCAGGGAATGGGGATTTGGACTCTCGAGGGAGGCCATGCTCACAGCACGGTCTCTGACAGCTTCCGAGTTGAAGTCTGCTGGCGCCATCTCGATGGTTGCTGAGACGCCTTCGGAACTGGACATCATAACGAAAACCCTCCTCACGCAACTTCGACACTCGTCGCCCGGGGGTTCAAGCATGTCGAAAGAATTAGTCAAGTTAAGTTGGAGACACGCGGGAATGCCAGAGCAGCGGGACGGGATTTCCAGGCTTTTCAAGACCATGATGGAGCCTGACTCTGATGCCGTCCATGGGATAGCAGAATTCCAGCAGAAGCGTAAGGTCGACTGGGATTCCCTAAATCAGGTTCCGCGGGCAAAGATCTAGCATGAAATATCTAGTACAGTACTTAGATGCTTAGTTCAATTGCTTTGAGTAGACACAATGACAGTGACATGTCGACCGCAACGACAAGCTGCAACTTAAACCCAGCTGCAATACCCACAACCAGGTTGGCTCATCCGGGTGAAAAGAATGGGGAAAGCGATGGAAGTGAACCCACTGCGCTGCTGCGGGCCGTTAATGCCCCCACGCAGACATACATAAACCCCGGTTACCCCGCATTACGGCTCAGCATTACCCCGTATCAATGCTCATCGGTCATTTCACTCTGGGGCGGACGAGCGCGTCTGGGACTTCAGCAACTATATTCATTACATCATTTCGCCCTGCCCGAAAACTGTAGACAACATCAACATGGCGGAGCCCGCGGAATCATCCATAACGAGGCCAGAGAGAAGTCCGGAGTCGAGGTCACCACCAGCCACCGCAGGCATCAAACGCATCCGCCAGGCCTGTACCAGTTGCCGGTAGAGTTCCAAGCCCTTCATCCCTTCTTTGGCGGAGGCCCTGTCAAAGGCCAAGTCGCGTGGAAGTCGCAGAGAAGCTGATATGGCGGCATCTGTCTTAGGCAGAAGAAGATCAAATGTTCCGGGGATCGACCAAGATGTATCAATTGTCGACGGGTGATGCAGCGTTGCCAATACGAACCCTACTCGGCAGTCTCGGCCTCCCTTTCTGGGAACTCGACTGCATTGCTTCTTGGCTTGACTAAAGATGTAATCACTGTTATAAGTGTTTGGCCCTAGAAGATCAGCAGACTGACGACGTGACCCTGTCTAGACGGACCTTCTACAGAGAATTTCTATGATTGAAAGCAAATTAGCTCAGCTGAGCGACCGCGAATCTCAAGAATTCAGGTATGTGTCCATCATCAGATTTTATAACCCAGGATTGTCGTGCTAATACAGCTCAGTTCCGCCGCTTTCAACGAGGCCAATATGCCTATGGAAGACCACAATACTGTGGAAGAGCAGCCTCAATTCCAATCAAATGAACACGAAGATGTTTTAGGCGTTCCTGATTTGGTCAACCAATCATCACCCAACATGTCAACCACCTGGCGTTCAGGGAGCTCACAGTCCCAGTAAGTCTTCTTCGGCGCCTTTGGTAGCTCAAGCACGAAGGACAAAAAAGAAAAAGAAAAAAAAAAGGCTAACATGACGCTTCAGAATATTCAGTACATTCCCGCCTGATTCGGTAACACAGTCGCTGGTCGACACTTTCTTTCAATGGTGTCACAACCAGCCATACTCTTATTTTCACGAGGGAAGCTTCCGGCAGAAACTAGCGGATGGCCAGCTTTCGAAATGCGTGCTTCTGGCTGTTTTAGCATCTTCCTTGAGGTTCTCAGAACACGAATACTATCGAGACAACAGATCCAATGCCATTGAAGCATATGCAAGAGAAGCATGGTTATCCGTTCTGGGCGATCACATGACGGTGGAAGATTCTTGCAACCTTGAGGTCGCCCAAGCCACCAATATCCTGGCCATCATTGACTTTACCGGTGAGTATTTCGACAACCGGGGCTTCCTTGGTACTAACGCCTTTGTCAGCCGGCCGAACCAGCTCCGCGTGGCTCAAGATTGGGATGGCGATTCGGATAGCTCAGGATCTCCAACTGATGAAGGAGCCCAGTGAAACTCTTCCTCTGGTGGAGCAGGAAGAAAGGCGGAGATCCTTCTGGTCAATCTACCTTCTCGACAAACTGGTCTCCCTCGGCAAACACAGACATTTCGCCATCTTGGACGAGGACTGCCATGTGCGACTACCTTGCGACGAGCTGACATTTCGTTCTGGCGGATGGGGCCAGAATGTGACGCTCCGTCAGCTTCTCGATTGGAGCACCGATGTTGGCGTTGAGAGTGGATTCCCAGTTGCCATCTTGGCATCATCCGTACTCGCTCGCTGCACACGAAGGCTTCTTCACGACCGCAATACCGATGAGACTCCCCCTTGGGACTCGAAATCGGAGTTTGCATCAATCACATCACTCCTTCTCCTCGTCGAGTCCCGCCTCCAAGTCGATCAACATCCCATTGGGAATGTTGTCGATACTTACAGGCTTGATGATGGTGTCATAGATCACCCCGCAATGGGCCATGTCATCTTTGCACGTACAGTATTCCATGTCTGCTACTGCCTTCTGTACCATCCATTCCTTGTGCGAGAGCAAGTTCGGAGAGTCAAGTGTCAAGTTCCATCAAGTTTCATGCGCCTCGCCTCCCAGAAGAGCTATGAACATGCTCGAGATCTGGTCAATTTGTTGCACGATGCAGAAGCAGTAGGGTGCCATCTAGGTGCTTCATTCTACGCATATTCAGCGTGCCTAGCTGGCAGCATTCTCTCGCTTCACATGCACACCGAGAAGGATACCGAGAGCCAGCGTTACTTAGAACTACTGAGTGTAACCCAAGACAGCATATCGATACTTGAAGGAATGGCAAAGTTTTGGGATCATGCGTCCAAGATTGTAAGTTTTCAATTGCTCGATGAGTTGGTGTATTTCAGCCATGTATGGGCTGACATTAGTATAGCACCATCGACTGCTGACTTTCAATGCGAACGCTTATCTTTTCGATTCACTCCTTGACTCGCAGCTGAAATCAGTCATGGATCCAGGATGGGAAAGATCCCTCTGGTCGATGGTTGATTACGGGGAGATGTGCCGCGAATCAAGTCTATCTATCCCAAGTCCGAAAATACCAGCGCCTTCGGATTCTCCGAGCTTTCCAGACCTCGAACTAGAAAGTGAACAGATGCTGGATTTGGGACTTGATGTACAACAAATATCACAGATCGACGACAACCTGATGAACTTTGATACTCCTAACATCAAGTATCTTCTTGAGCTTGCTTCTGGCGGAGGGTAGCATAGCCTCAACTCAATGCAGCGGCTCATCCTACTTACTTTTGCAAACGAATATCTCGCTGGTTGTGGTCGACAAGGGGATTGTCATGTTAAACGGATACACACATTCATAGTGTGGCTTTCTAGAAGTGGCCTTAAGTTACTAGGTACTGTTAAAGGAATCATCATGTTAGATATAGTAGCAAGCGAGCAATAACGCAGGAGCGTACCTACCTTAGTTAGGGCAAGTTAGTTCCATGGGTGGTGAGGAAGTTGACGTCAAAGGGAGGAAAGAGCAATGGAAAGATGACATTCGACTGTCTTAGGTAACCACCCAAGGTGTCTACCTCATGTATATCTTTCTTGACGAGCATTGAAGATATCTAGTACTAGGCAGTACTTTAGGCAGGGTTGCTTCCACAACTGACTTTTGATTGTCCCGTTCACCCCGCTCTTTCCTCTTTGTCACACACACACAGTGCCACATCTTTAATCGAGGTCAAAAAGGATTCACAGGCAGGCGATACCTTTACTCAGTCTATTTAATTCCCCCCACCCTGCGAAGACTTTTCTTCCTTCCATCAGAGCACACCAAATCGCCAATACGGACGCCAACAAGATCAATTGGAAGGATGCGTTCTTGTTCTTCTACTGGGATTTGCAAGATGAAGACACCGATTCACTTATCGCAGGCAAAGTGACAAACGACAACTTCATCGTGGAGTTCTTAAAGGGAGAGCGCTTATGTCAGGCCTCGCCGGTTAAGGGATAGCCTAAGGGGCATTAAGAGGAGGACCAAGCAACAAAGGAGCATCTCAGGTATATATAGAACGCTGAAAGTACACCTCGAGGGAAGGGCAGATTTCAGTCATTCATCTTCTAGACCCTAACAGCAGTTGGCCTCTGTGAGCTTCTTCCCTGTGTCGTACACTCATTGACAGCTTACCTCTCAACACCTTGTCTCGTCCCCGGTCGTGGAATCACCTGCTATGGCACCTCATGCGATGCTCTCTGTATCAGACAGGCGAGTGGCTACGATGTTCTCTGCGTTTCATTTTCTAACCTGAAAGTTAGGCCTGGATCTTGGAGAAAATAGCAGCAAAAGCAATCACGATTGGCTTCACGGTTCTCCCTCCGAGACTAAGGAGCCTTGGGTGAATTGAATGGAACTCTTTGACATCTACAGCGAACAAGTTGGCTATTACGAACGAAGTGATTACGAGAATGACCAAAATCAGATATTCTGGGTTCTGGAATATTTGGAAGACCCCGCATTCCAAAATGTCGCCTGGAACCTGACAATGACTGAGGCGTGGATCAGCAGCCCCTATCTCCTAGAATTCGAATACTTTCAGGGTCATCGGCTTGACTGGGCGGTGTCTCTTCCCGTCCATGGGGCTTCATCAAGCGAACTAGGTTTGCCGCATGTTCTCGATCTCGAGGAAGGATTTTTCATCAAACATGAGGTTGGCTCGAACGTAATTCGTCTTCATTCTAATAAATGCTGGCTGAGAGATGGAGACTTACTCAGCTTAGCATACTTCCATTACACAACTATGCTTCGCTGGGCTAACCAAATGATGGCAAGAGGCGGCGTTACGAGCATTCAAGACTTCTTTCAAAGCTGGTCGGGAAATCGCCACTGGTCGAAACCGGATAACGCCGTTGATAGATTGATCATCTTGAAGGAGCTGTGGTAGTGCATCAGGATGATAAGCCAATCAGGCTAGTGAAGGGCTTCGTAAGCTTAGCGAACTGGTTTTGGAGAGAGGAAGGCAGAGGTCATTGAATGAGATGAGACTCGAGATGACGATTAGATATAGGATCTTTGTGAATCTTGAGCGAGACGGTCGCTGTAGTTTCAGGATGGGGATACTGCTCGATTTTGACGAGCACTACAACGCAGCAGAATGGGAGAGTTTTTTCGAGAGGAAATAAGGTAGAGCTCGATTAATTTCTTTCTAGAATGGAACCTTGTTCCGGGAGTGTTGGCTTTTTCTTCATGACATACTTAAATCTTAAGCTGAGCGATAGTACCTAGTCCGACTCCAAGGGCAAACCTGCCACATCCATGAGCAACCCAGTGGAAGGCTCCCCCATGTTATTGGGTGCGTATCGTGATCGCTAACTAAGGCAGGTTCGGTAAGGTAAACGGGCGAGACGCACTACCTCCCGTCCCTGGCAATGCTCAAGACGTTGAGGTTCCACTTCCTTCCCTCCCGTCACCAGGAGGGCAGGAAGCCTGAGGCGCACCTTCCGCAAACGCCACGAGAAGCCCTCATATGCTCCGCCAAGTACATTCCTGTCACCAGCCAGCAGGCGCCCCCCTAGGTCGGGGGGTCAGGTCAAACTGGCTGGGTGGTGGAGAGGTTAATGGTCCAACGATTATACGCCAACCAGCCTACTCGACGACAGGCTTAGCGAGTACCCGAGTTCGAGTCCCAGTATGAGCACCAAGAGATGTAGCCCCCAGTCCAGCACCGGGGGGGTGAACTCTTTTGCTTTTTGGTGCTTTGGATCTTTTGACGTGCTTACATGATCGAGGCCTAAGCTACCTTACCGCGCTTCACTGACGACTGCTACTTGCCTTATTACCAGTCCCCTCGCACTCACCTTGGAGGAGAAGGCCCGTTTCAGGCTCCAAACATAGACCGTAACGTGAATAAAGTAGCTCAATGGTGCCTCATCTTATTTTCAAGTAAAATGCCTCACGTCGATATGAAACTAGGTCATTCCCTTCTCTTTCTCTCCAAGGCGAAAGAGGTTTCATGTGTAAAAGATTGGGCCGCCTCCAAGCCGTACTCGACGACCCAAACCAAACGCATCGTGGCATGAGAATAGAACTTCGCGGAAAACCTGACGAGCTGAAAGTTTCCCACAGATTGGCAATTGCAATGTATAGATATATATATGTCACCTGTTCAAGAAGCATCAAAACAAGGTCCTCACTCCTGACTTCGACCGACATACCACTCAGATCACTGCCATGGGATTGATGACACTACTCCACGTGGTCTTTCTCTGCATCGCGCTTCACCAGTTGTTGAAAATCATAGCCACATGGCTAATAACTGGCAGTTGGCACAATCTCTGGAGAATCATACCGTGTATCGCAGACGACGAAAAGTCCAACATGTCCGACCACGAGTCTTCACTCAACTGGGGCGATGAGTTTTCCTTCCTCATCTTCGACTACTCACTTCTCTCTGATGAAGAGGCTTTGGTTCAGCTCTTCCTCGCATGTGTGATGATCAGGCACCAGTCAATCAGAAATGGAGACGAGGAACAAGATGTTGATCCTTCTCACTGGGTGTACTTCCCCTGGCGGGTTATGGAGGCCATCAGGCCGCGTTTCGGTATGTATTGGGCATCTCTAAGCTTCAGACCAGGCAGTACTCACGCGCTCGGTGTAGAAATTCAAAGCGAGGACGGGTTTTCAATCAACGTGAACTCTGAATCCGTACACGCTAATTCAATGCCCATTCCCGGCGTCGATCAGCACATCGAGCAAGGTAAGTGGCTCACACAGCCGCCTCACGACATCGCCCTTCCCTCCCCGCGAGATGATTCAATGCTCGCCTATCTACGCGCCGAGTTCGACAAGGGGAGCGCAGTTACTGGTAAACCTTTCAACATCCGCTATGAGCTAGGTATGTTCCACCGGGACCTCTATCAGCAACTCACGATGTACCGCTACCGCCGCCTGCGCAGCATCGGTCCCATCACAAGACAAGTCGTCGCTGCGCGAGCCAACAGCCTGTGGGCGAGTAACCCATCCCTACGCCGATTTGAAGAGCAGCACGAGACGGTACCATGGGGCGTCCCGGTGCCCTTTCTAACCTTCCAATTTCTCAACTTTCTCCCGGCGCCCATCGACCCTGGTCCGGGTCTGGAGCGGTCGTGGGTCAGTCAGTTCCAGATTGTCTGTAGTCCCGTCGCCCGCATCGCCTACGTCCGGATCAAGCCGGGCCGTGCTTATAGTGTGAACGGGATGACGGTCGAGGAGGCGGAGTGGATGATTGGCGGGATGAGGCTTCTCCACGTGGAGATGCTGCGTATTTGGGGTCTCTGTCGTCGCCAGCCGATGTTCTGGTCGGGTGAAGATTTGGCCGCGTTTGCGCGGGATGTCTTTGATGGTGCCGCGGTGAAAGGGAGAGTTCATCTAGATGCGATCTCGAGTGCCAGGGAACATTGGAGATTTATTCGAGAGATGGGGGGTGTTTGATCTCTCATTGGCTTCTTGGGTGGACAGAGAGAGAGTTTCATCGGGGGGATCTTGTCATTTATTGTTGCTTCCATGGATTAAGGTAGATTTCTTTCCGTCAGTAAGTCCTGGTAGACTTTAGGCAGTAGGCTTTGGTTGGTAGATGCCCAAGTATTCAATCATCATTTTTGTGTTTCTGTTGGTATCCCTATCCCAGGGTAGTTGGTTTGAACCGTGGGTAGACGAAGAGGTTAGTTGAACTATATGATCTTCTGCGTGAGGTGGAAAATGGAGGTTCCAACCGCAGGTTGGGCAGGCCACGATTATCGTAAGTATGGTCTGCAAATGGCCCCTGTGCGGGCCCGCGGCCTCGAGGTCGAATTGGACTTCCAATTCGACAGTTTCAACTGAGGAACATGTAAGCAGAATTTGAAGAATACAAACATCCCATTTGCTCGACTTATCGCTATGTAGGATAGGTAGCGGCAGATGACCAATAGATGAATCGAAGTAGGGGTTGAAATTCGGATATGGAATCATGTTTACCCCTGTCGCCAATGCCGGACGGATCGTATTGGCATCGGTGATCGTCCGTCGGCCAAGGAGGTCAAGCTCCGGAACATTAAAAATCGTTCGCTTGGCGAAACGGGGGCACCGTGGTGGCGATCCACTTCGTGACCAGTCCGTCGAAAGTCTGCCGACCCGGTCCGTAAGTCCGGAGGGCTGACGGGGCGGGCAAGCCTTTCAAAGGATTCTTCGCTCGAGTCTCTACCTTCTTGTCTCGAAGTCCACACCGAGTGATCAAAATGTTCACCGCAATTGCACACTTGCGGTTGTTTTTCGCGGCGGTCGGGCGAGATTGTTTTTCCTCCTTCGCGACGGGTTACCTGTTTAGGCTCTATGCATCCAGCAACGGGACTTTCGGTGGGTAATCACGTGTGATTGGCCACTGCAAGGGATTGGGAAGGGAGAATCGTATTTTGCATTCACGTGGACTCGTGGAGTCTCCAGACCCAGATATATCGCGAGGTGGAGGAAAATGGAGGGAAAGGTGGAGGATATGAAGTTGGAAAAATATGTTACATAATCCCTCACCCAAAAAGCCGGGCTCAACCGGAGAGTTCACGGACACTCCCTACGAGACGGGATGCTTCATTGGCTAATCTTGCAGGATTATTTGGATCTGAGTTACTGAACTATCATGATACTGGAGCGGTTGGCAGATTGAGGAGGGGAAAGGTAACGTTGACTACAGGCGTACGTGAGTCGTGAGGCGATGTCGTACGAGGCATCCACATGCAATGAACCTGAATGGCGGCTGCAATAACCTTGGTCAATAGAGAGAAATGAAGGGGTTGATTCAATGGTTGGCTGATAGAGGGATGGGAATGCTTCGGTTGACTGCGTTTCATCAACTTTCGGGCCGTCAGGAGGCATCCGAATCTTGGCAGCGTCCAGGCGCCGGTTGAGGCTGCGGGAGTGGCTGATCGTCTAATCCTCTTTGCTTTCACTTTGACTAGGTAGCTGGCTGAGTAAGAGTTTGGCTGCGCATATGATGTCGTTGAAATACGAACAAAGCAAGGGCTTAAGCTGGCATGGCTCATCCAAAAACTCTGTTTTATCCCTCTCTTGCCTAATGCCATTATTGCTTCATCGCTACCTGCCTCGAAGTGGTAATCGGACATCAAACAGATGGTGTTGCGGGGAGTGGCTGGATAACTGGAGATGGGATGGACATGTGCGTGGGAGCATCCCATGGAGAGAAAGAAACGAAGGCTGGAGAGAAGCTGGAGAGAAAAGACTGGACCCAGAACGGCTGGAGACGGCGCCGCACACTGCATCCAGTTCTGCGAGGGCGAGGTTCGGGCCCACCGGCCCAACGACGTCATAAATGATGTCCGTTGGTGCTATGCATCCCGCTTTGCCCAGTTTGGCAGCCCGGAAAGGTGACTGCCTTTTGGTGTCATTGGGGAGCTTAAACAGAGAAATGGAGATAGTCTTCCCAGAGCAGCTAAGCATGGCAAGGTTAGCGGGAAATGGGAATAAGAAATCGGGGAGAAGTAAAAAAAAGTTTACGACCATGATCGTCATTGCTAAATCCTTGCGGATCTCTGTTCCTTCTGGTGTGCCAATCATGGTGTTCCTTGACTTTGCCAGGTACAGCTGAGGGCTGCCTGCCACTCCCGTCGTGAACTGCGACGCCACTAGAGCCGCGCAGGACAAGGTACGTTCGTCAGTACGGAACGGTGCGTGGGTGGTAGGTATTTTCCACGGGCAAACAAGCTTTGGATGCCGCCCTTCGCCAAGTCTGCTGCCGCTCTACCGCAACTTGGCACCAGCCTCAAGTACGTACCTCTCACCTCTGACGCTTCTCTGGTAGGAGCCGAAGCGCAAACTTCCACACATCACCAAAACCTGCGTCCGGATGGGCAGCGTGACTGGAATTTGACAGCACAGGAACGGTGTCGACGAGTTCAGCCATCAAAATCTCACTAGAAGAAAACGTTTCCAAGGGCAGCGTCAAACTCAATTACTCCACATATTGGCTAGACTGGCACGCTACGTTCGTTCCTTGTGGGCTCCTCGCAAACCACTACATTTCGACCCTCCTCCGGACTCCCTCCGGCGAATCCACATTGTCAACGATCCGCACCCGTCCCCGATTTTTCACCAGAATTGTCCTGTGACCGCTCGCGACTACAGCTCCCATCGAACGGTTGACGCTACCTTTGGTGCTCAGTTTGCTTACTACGTTGCCCTGCTACGGTACCCTTCTGTCTTCCTTTCAACTCGCCCGCCCCCGTATCCCACACACCCACGCCCCTCCAACGCTACGTCTGGTTTAAGTGGGACGTGCTGCGCTAGAGGTTGCCTGTTTCGCGCCACCAACAATGGACGGTGATGTCACGGGTGGGCAACTGCACGTTTGGGAAGCCGACTGGGCATGGCTCTACGTCGACAGCAACAGGCGCGTTGGGTCATGGCGGCAGGGTCTGCGTCCCTCGGCTTCCGTCCGAAGTTGACCGCCCCATTGATATATCTCGAAGCCTCGCCCGAGCAGGCAGATTTGGCTGATCCCTTGGTTCTCCCGAATCATCCAGCCTTTTGGTCTATAGAGGTTGTCCTTACGCCTAATCATCTCTCTCATCCTCCTTCGTTGTCGGCTGGCCTCCCGAAAAACAGGAGGAAGCGATACCCTGACCTTCTGTTGACCGTCCTGCACCTTACATCTGCATGACAACAGCTCAACATGGCTGGCACACGATTTGCTGAGGAACCGCCTCAGGTCATCAACCAGGCTGACCTCGAAGTCGCCAACGAGAAGCTTGAGTCCCGCGACGAGCGCAACGTCAGTGACGGTACCAGCGCTAGCGATACAGCAGCTTCAAAAGAGCACGACCCAACCATTAATCACTCGGAGCACCTGAACGGCAACGGTGCCCTCAATGGCAACGGTAACGGCGCCAAGCTGGAGAAGCTAGGCACCTATGACAAGTACGAAATTACCGAGGACGACTGCTACGAAGAGCTGGGCTTCTGCTTCCCTAAGTGGAAAAAGTGGTACATCCTCACCGTCATCTTCTGGGTTCAGGTCTCGATGAACTTCAACACCTCGCTTTACTCCAATGCCATCGGCGGCATCTCGGAGGAGTTCAACGTCAGCGCCCAGGCCGGTCGCTGTGGTGCCATGATCTTCCTCGTGCTTTACGCCTTTGGCTGCGAACTTTGGGCCCCTTGGTCAGAGGAATTTGGCCGCTGGCCGGTTCTCCAGCTCTCGCTATTCCTCGTCAATATTTGGCAGATTCCCGTGGCTCTGGCGCCCAACTTTGCGACCATCATGGTTGGTCGCGCCTTGGGCGGTTTGTCGTCCGCTGGCGGCTCCGTCACACTCGGTATGATTGCCGATTTGTTCGAGTCCGACAAGCAGCAGTACGCTGTCGCATATGTCGTCTTCTCCTCAGTCGGAGGATCCGTTCTTGGTCCCATCGTGGGTGGCTTCACTGAGGAATACTTGCACTGGAGGTATGTGGCATTTGACTAATACGATATTGATTGATGACAACTAATGTATGTGCTTAGATGGTCCATCTGGGTTCAGCTCATTTTTGGAGTTGCGGTCCAGGCTGTCCACGCCCTTACCGTTCCTGAGACACGCACAACTATCATGATGAACCGCATCGCCAAGAGGCGCAGAAAGGAGGGCAACCCCAACATCTGGGGTCCCGACGAGCTCGTCCCCTTCAAGGACCGCTTCTCGGCCAAGGAGGTCATCACGACCTGGATCCGTCCCTTCAAGATGTTCCTCACCGAGCCTATCGTTCTGGTGTTGTCACTTCTCTCCGGTTTCTCTGACGCACTCATCTTCATGTTTATCCAGTCGTTCGTTCTCGTCTATGGACAGTGGAACTTCACCACCGTTCAGGTTGGGTTGGCCTTCATTCCCATTGGTATCGGCTATGTTCTCGCATGGCTCCTCTTCATCCCTGCCATCAAGCGCAACATCAAGGAGCGTGCGGCCAAACCGAACGATGATAGAGCACAGTACGAGTCTCGTCTTTGGTTCCTTTTGTACACCGCGCCTTGCTTGCCTATTGGCTTGATTGGCTTTGCCTGGACTATTCAGGGACCTCCCATCCACTGGATCGGCTCTATGGTCTTCGCAGCCATTGTTGGCATCGCCAATTACGCCATCTACATGGCCACCATTGACTACATGATCTGTGCCTACGGACCATACTCCGCGTCAGCAACTGGCGGCAACGGTTGGGCCCGTGACTTCCTTGCAGGTGTCCTTACCGTCCCTGCTACGCCCTTCTTCACCAATATTGGTGCAGGTACCGGAAAGAACCTTGAGTATGCTTGCACGATCCTGTTCTGCATCTCATTCATTCTCGTCGTCGCTGTCTATGTCATCTACTGGAAGGGTCCTACCTTGCGCGCACGCTCGCCGTTCGCTCAGAAGCTGGCCGGCGCCAGAGATGATGCGGGCGGTCGTCGCGTCAGCCATGTTGGAGGCGCGGACAGGCGCGCGAGCGTTGCCTCCGACGCTTCTGGTGCTGAGCGCCCTGATCGTCCGGCGTACGGACGTTCTTACAGCCAAAATTCGCGCTTCTTTGGCGAGAACCGTGTTACGCCTCGCGGCACTCCCAGAGGCACTCCCTCTGCGAGCAGACGTAACAGTTATGTTGGTACCAGGCGCCAGGTCGCAAAGTAATGTCTACTCCATATGGGGCCCCCGGGCCTTACCTGAGCTCCAAAAGTTGATTTCACGATCCTTGATACCCTAAACCTTGTCTGATCTACTAGCTAGACATAGTCATAATAAAGTAAATCACGAATAATGCAATAATCACTCTATGGTCCACATGTCATCAGGCGTGGGCTCATTACTCACCCTGTCAATACTTCTGTCAGGCCGAAGTCTTCACACGGTGCGGATTATCAGTCAGAGCAGCGCATCTCCGAGGATGGTAATCATTCATAAATCCTTGACGCGAAACTACTGATGCTGATAGCATCATACCAGTTCTCTATCGTCACAACCATCTACGGGAATGGATTATACTCGCCTAACCCTGTACACACACCATCCATCTCAACGCCATCAATCCGCTCCACCACTTTCCCACCCGCTCCGAACCGAAGGACGTCTCCCCCAGTCGCCTCACTCACAACCCGTGGTTCCCATCCGAACTTCTTCTGCGGGCCATGATATGGATCCTCAGCAAACGCCATGATGCGATCCTGCATCGCGTGGCTCACCTCAACCTCGAACTCCGTCGTCGGCGCAATATGATTCAACAGCCCATACGTACCAAACACTAAAGGTGTCTCGCTATTGTGATACGCGCCCAGCCAATTATACACATTCAAATTAGGGAACTTGGCCGCATATTGGAACCGGAACACGGGGGCCTCGGTGGTGCTCAGCTGGTTCCGCGCGACGGTGGCGGCGTACGCCGCGCACACCCACACGACGTCGGCCTCCGTGACCAGCGTCTGCCAGGGCCCATCTGTCAGGTTCTCCTTCGGCCAGGGGACCAGCGAGGAGAATTCGTTGGCTGTTAGGGAGATGAGGACCGGACGGCGGGCTAGTTTGCCCTCTGCTGCGCGGGCTTCGTAGTCGCGGAAGATGATGCGTTCGTCCTGGACCAGGGAGAAGAATATTGCTGGCGCTTCGCCCCGGTCGGTGTATTGGCCGATGAAGTTGCTGATTTGCGTGGGTGATACCCGGCGCATGCAGTCCAGCTCCGCCGTGCCGTCCTCGTCTTCGCAGTCGGCGCCGCAGGGGGATCCGCAGCCTACGTTCCGCGCGACGAAGGTAAAATTAGAGAAGGTCAGATCCGCTTCGATTCCGGACTGCACGACGCCGGATTCCATGTAATATGACTGGGCGATCGGGTCGTCGTAGTACGCGTAGGCGTGGATATCCGCGCTGACTGACCCTGCGGACCGGCCCCACTGCATAATGCGGGCCGGGTCGCCGCCAAAGGCCGCGATATTCTCCTGTACCCATTCCAAAGCTGCGCGTTGGTCCAGTATGCCTAGATTCTGTGATATGCCCTCCGCGGCTAGCCCGCGCGCGTTGGGGAAGCCAAAAATGTTGACGCGGTAGTTGATCGTCACGATGATGGCCGACTGGGAGCGCTCGACCCACGATGTCGGGATTTGCCAGGGGAGGTCG